TTGATGTTCTAGGGTTTCAGGATTGTTGATTCTCTGTTTGGCTTAGTTTTTCGGATCTTTGTTGTGGAGGGACGGCGTGGTGCTTCTGCCTAGACCGCCATCTTGCCGGAGTCCCTCTCTATACAATTTTTGACTTTTAAAAATTTATCCTTTGCAAAATTATCAAGGTACAGAAAATTAGCTTGTACTAGAAGCTTTTTTCTTATTTTTCCATCCCCTCCCTCCATTTTTTTGCCCCTCCTTTTTTATTTACCTTCCCTTCTTTTGTCTCCTATTGTCTTTCCTTTCTTTGTCATCAAGATGGGTTTTTCCTCTGTTTAATTTCTCTCCCCATCACCCTTATTGGTCTCTGAGAATACACAATTTGAAATGACAAGGACAGCATAGGAACTGTTCACCCAGTGGGGAAGAGGACTGTAATCTTAGTAGAAGTCAGCTCTAGAGTTAATTGAATAGAAGGAGTAGCAATCCAGAAAGTTCTAGAACTTCATATTTTTTGCTGACTCTGTAGTCCTTGTGATTTCTGAATGGTCCTTCCTTCTGGAGGTCAAAAGGCTATTCCTTGACTTTAGTACATTCTGGTGGAGTGTCTTCTCCCTTCACCAAAAGCTACCCACTCACCACAGGCATGGGAAGGCTTTCACAGTTTAGGAGAGTGGCCTTCTGAGATGTGATTAATGATCCTTCAGTGAACCTCAACTCGTAGATTGCTGTGTCTGGGGGAACCACGTTGTGCCAGAATGAAGAGATCAGTGGCTGACCTTGACTACCTGGCCACTTCATCTTTAAAGATGCCCTGAGGAGCACAATGCAGGAGGGTTAGGGACTTTGCTGAACTGACTATGTTGTACTGAAGGTGAAGACCAGTGCTTGCTGGTCAGGGTGGGATCCAGTTGCTGCTGGAGGCCTCCAGGGAAATGCCATCAGCCCCAGCTTGCCCACCAGGCTGGGAAGAGGGACCTAGAGGTGGAGGTGGAGCAGGAGCACGTGGGCTAGAGCTTAAAAAAAAAAGCACATGTGAGTAGCTCTCGCCGACTCTGGGGGTCTGGGCAGGAGGTGCTGTAGATCATTTGTTGCTCTTTACCACAGCAGAAGTTCCTCCTGCCCCCTCCCCTTTTCTTTAATTATTGATAAAACAAAGTTACTTTAACTCTGTAAAAATTGATTCCTTCCTTCCCTCTAATGTGTAACCTGATTTGCTTTTCACATACTCTCCAGGAATTTATTAGAGGATGTTGCCTGTGCAAATATAAAGTAGTATCATTAACCAAAGCAGCTTTTCCTTGAGGATTTCTTGCTTCCTGTACTTAACTCTGCATGAACACAGAGTATTTTTAGAGCAAGCTCAGTTGAATTGGTATTCCAGATTTCCAAAAACTAAGCATAGAGAGTAGCTTGGGTCGCTGATCATGCCTCTTTTACCGTCTCCTCCAATACCATAGAATTAGGTACACTACTGTTGATGCTTCTGTGGATCAGCTGGTTAGATAATGCTGTGTTTTTTAAGAAATCCGATATAACCAGACATGTTTTTATTTCTGGCTAGGATTTCTGCTTGTGAATTGCTCTCTGCTTTCCTACCCTGAAGAGTTTGGACCTCTTTGCTCTTGTCCCATGAAGCCTGAGCCAGAACCAACCCCAGAGAACTGTCTCTTCCTTGCTTCCTTTCTTCTTAGCTCCTGCTAAGTGCCAGGTGCTGAGATAAAAGTGAGCAGAGCATGTGCAGCCCCTGCCCCATGGAGGTTTTGGTCTAGATGCAGGGCCTAGGCTGCTTATAGTAAAGGGCTACGTAAGGGGAAAAAACAGTACCGGGTAGAGGCCACGGGAAAACCCTGAGGAAGTGATGGGGGCAGAGGTGCATATTATAATAGAAGGGCCCGAAGCAAGAGAGCAAAGGGATTTTGAGGGACTGAAAGAAGTGAGATATGACTGGATTGTAGAGGGCCAGAGAGAATGTTGACCAGTGAGGCTGGAAAAAGAGGCAAGACTGGATCATGAAGAGCCACGTTAAAGATTTAGCCTAGGGGCGATGGGAAAACTATCAGAAGATTTTAAATGGAGATCTGAGTGTTGCTGTTTGTATTTTTCTGGATAGTTTAATCTGGCTGGAAAGACATGAATAAATGGTAATGGGGAATAAGAATAAAGGCAGCAATCTAGGCCTCGGGTGATGGTGGCTGGGCTAGAGAAGTAACAGTGGGGATGGAAAGGGTGGATGGATTCGAGAGGTAGTTAAGGGGTTAGAATCTACAGGTTTGTGGGACTGGTTTGCTGTAGGGAGTTAGAGGGAACTGAGTTCAAGGATCTCTCCCAGATTTTTGTCAGGGACACTTGGGTGAATGATGGTACAGTCACTAAAATAAGGAGTTTTGGGGAGGTAGATTTAAAGCACCTGAGGGCATCAGTGGACCTGTTCAGTAGGTATTTGGATATGTGGATCTGGAGCCTGAAAGCCAGGACTGGGTTAAGGTATTAGATTTGAGAACCATGTGCCATGGAAGTGGATAAGCCACTTTGTGTCCTCTCCGCAGGTGGGTAAGAACCGAGGGTCAACTCTCTAGCCCTGAGAAACACCAACATTTAAGGAGTGGGTAGTGGAAGAGGAGTGTGCAGGCCAGACTGATATGAGGAATGGTCAAAGAGAGAGATGGAAAAAGAGAGAAGTGTGTAGCCAAAAAAGATACCAGAATGGTGTGCTTTAAGCCTTCCTGACCACACCCATGTTTGAGGTGGCACCTCTTCTCGTTAAACTCTAGACATCTCCCTATGATTTCTTTGAAAGCATTTACCAAATTGAAATTACATTTGTTTGTGTGCTCTTGCAGAGATTTTTTTTTTTTTCCTTATTCCCTGTGGTATTCTCAGTGCTTCGTATTTGGCACATAGTAGGTCTTCAACAAATGCGTGTTTTTGAATGGTTACAAAGTGCGAATTCAGCAATGTGAAATGCTGCTGAGCAGTTAAGGTAAGGATGAAAAGTTGCCCTTTGTACCACATGTATGGGACATTGGTGACTTTGTCTAGTACAAGTTTGGAGGACTGCTGGGGTCAGAAGCCAGTTAGCAGTGAATTGGAGAACAAGTGTATGAGGTGAAGGAGTAGAGAAGAATAGACAAGTTCTTCAAGAAATTTGGCTGTGACTAAGATGGTAGGGACAAGCCTCAAGAGAAAGCTATAGTTGGAGGAGGAAGTGGGGTAAAAGGAGGTTTTTGTTTTGTTTTTGAAAGACATGAGACATTGAATATGTTTAATTGCTGATGGGAAGGAGCCTGTGGAGGAGATGCTCGGAAGCTGAAATAGTAGTAGATAGGGCAAGATGCTTGGAAGGCAGGAGAGGGGAGGGAATGCAGAGCACAGATGGAGGGATTAGTCTGAAAAAGTAGGAGGGGGTAAATCCTCTGTTTAATAGAGTGAAGAGTGGAATGTAGGAGGCTAGTCAGGGGAATTTCTTGTGGTCTCTGTATCCTTCTGTGAGCTACTAGGTGAAACCATTAGCTGAGAGGAAGGGATGCCTGCTTGGTTCTCTCTTAGCTCTCCAAGGCTGAAGGCTTGCCCAGCTCCAGGACCCACCACCTCAGAAGCTGCACAGAAGTGGGAGAAAGCAACTTTTATAATCCTTTCAATCCTCCCACCAAAGCATTCCAGGCCTCAGTCTCAGGGAAAGGGACAATCTCCTTGGTGGCTTTATTGTGCCCTTAGTGTAGACCAGGTTCCCTACACTCTCTGGGTCGAGAAAGCAGAAGTTATCAGAAAAGGCTGGAGGCCAGTAAATAACCCCTCTTAGCCCGCCCCTCACTGGACAGAGAGAGAACTTCACCTCTCCCTGCCTGTTTCTGTGTATATAATTCATTCCTTTCTTGAGCAGATATTTATTGAGGGCCAGCTTTGTGCTACATGCTGTTCTAGGTGGTGGAAATATACACAGAAGTAAAAATCTAGTAAGTTAGATGTGGTTAGTGCTATGGAGAAAACTAAAGCGGGAAAGGGGGACAGGCGGTGACAAGGAAAGGCTGCAGTTTTTGACAGGGTAGTCAAGGAAGGATCACCGAGAAGGTAATATTTGAAGGAAGTGGCCGTGTTGCCATTTGGGAAAGGTTGTCCCATGCAAGGGAATCATAAGGGGGAGCATGCTCAGTGTGTTGCAGGAACAGTAAGGAGGCCAGTGTGACTGGAGTGCATGAGCGATGGGGAGAGGAGTAGGGGAGGAGGTCAGAAGGCTGAGAGGGGGCAGATGGTGTCGGGCCTGATAGACTTTTGAAAGGACTTTGACTTTTACTTTGACAGAAATGGGGATCAGGGTTTGAGCAGAGAGTGACATGATCTGACTGACATGTTCTAGGTTCACTTTGGTTGCTGTGTGAAGAGACTGAGGGTGGCGAGGATGGAGGCAGAGAGGCCAGGGAGGGAAATGCAGGCTCATCATTCCTTTTTCTTTTCTTTCTCTCTAAAGCAAAGAGCCTGTCCTGAAGACCATGCTCCAGGGCATTTGAAAGACTGCCAGGCAGTGGGAGCTTGGGATGGGTCCGGAGGATTCACTCTGGACATGACTTGGGATGTTCTGGAGGTCATCTTGAGAAGCCAGGTAGGACAGAGACGGAGTTAGCGAGTTCTCCGTCACGAGCCATCGATGCTGGCCTGCCCTGCTGCTGTCGTGTCTGAAGTACTACCCGTACTCATGGAGCCCCCTGCTTATGGGTACTTAATAGACTGCTTCACTACATGTTGAATGGGTTATTCTAGTTCTGTTTTGTTTTCTAAATTTGTTGTTGTTGTTGTTGTTATTATTATTATTATTATTATTGTTTTGGTACCTCAGAAGCATCTTCATTTTGGACAGATTGATTGTACCCTTGTGGCTGCCCTTAAAAGCTAAGTGGCCTCTATTTTGAGAGGATGGAATACCTCTTTGTGAAAACAAGATGTCATTTCCTGGAAATAAAATGTAAAACCTATCGGTTGCTCATCTGGGCTGTGGTGTATTTACCTTTCTTCCCTTTCAGCTCCCAGACAGTCTCACAAGTAAACACTGGCAGCTCATAGATTACAACCATGAAAGTGACTGTATCAGATGATAGACTTTGAAATGAGTATCAGCCTAAGAAGCCAAGCCCAAGATCACGGCTGTGGCAGATGGGCTCTGTTAAACCCCTGACGGTCATGTTTGCTTTTCAGTGCAGAGGTGGATCACTGCTTACCTGGTTTCAGGGTGGAGTAAATTCCTTCCCTGAGCTGGTGTTTGGAGGTGGTTTCCAAATCTGTTGTACCCTATGTCACGAAAATCCACGGGCAATGATTTTATGAGAACTTAGTGTGCTTTTTTTTAAATTAAAAGTCATCTCTTTTTTACCTGCCTCCCCTTTTAAACAGAAAGAAAACCAGTTTTGATGTTTGGGAGAAAAAAGCTTAGGACAACCTGTGGTATCCTTGGTTACCACCAGGGATGCGAATGAGGGAACCTACAGGAAGTTGAAGAGTAGTCGTTTGAAACTGGGGGTCCTCTAATAGGATCACAAAACTGTATATTATATCACTCAATGATTTCCTTCCAGATGGAAAGGTATTTTCCTCTCCCTTTTTACTGCCTACCTGGAGAACCATTCTTTTGTGGTTCTTTATTTATATCCCATGTATTTTCAAAAAGGACTGGAAATTACTGAGTTGCCAACTTTTTAGGGATGGTGGGCTTTTTTTCTTTGTAGACTATACTGTGAATATTGGGATTCTGGAGTCCGTAGTTTTCATTTCCATCTTTCTCACCATGACTACTGATTGAAATACCGGTGGAATCAAGGAAGAAGTAATAAAAATAAATAAATACAATAAATAAAAACATTTATTATAACCACATCATAAAAATTCTGAAAAAACGGAAAAGAAGGAAAAGGTTATTACCATCTTAATGTAATAACCTCCTATTTCCTCCCATGAATGTGTTTTGTTTATATGATTACATGGGTGTATGTAAATTTTTGTATATTCTGGGTATTTTTTCTTGTTCACAGATTAGTTAGAAGATTACAGATATACACTTTTTGAATACATAATATGTTCACATAGTTTGAAATCAAAAGATGCAAAGGGCATAAAGTAAAAAGCCTTCTCCCTGGTCCCCCAGTGACCACTTCCCCTCCATACAGAGATGAGTGTTACCAATTTCTTGTGTATCCTTCCAGAGATCTTCTGTGTCTCCACAAGCAAATACATGTATGTGTGGTCTTTTATTTTGCACAAATGATAGCAAAAATTGTACACTATTTTATGCCTTGTTTTTTTTTTTTCAGATATATCTTGGCGACAGTTCATGTCAGTACATAAAGAACTTCCTCTCTCTTTGTTACAGCTACCTAGTATTCCATTGTGTGTTTGTACCATAGTTTATTTTTCCAGTCTTATTTTTGATGGAAATCTGGGTTGTTTCAAACCTTTTTCTCTTAAAATAATGCTGCAGTGAGCACCCTTATACATACATCATTAGAGGAAAAATCTTCAAGGAAGAAGTGTTTCAACTCGAAGAGCCTGAAGGCCATCCACACAGACTGACCTTACATACTGACCTTTCCCTCCCGTAGCTGCTGGACACTGAGTGACTGGCAGTCCCTCCTTTGAGAAAATAACATCCCTCTGCAGTGTGCCATACAGACTAGGAAAATGAGCTCTCAAAGACAGACTGTAAAGAATAATAAGTAAATAAAACTTAAATTAAAATTTAAAAGTCAGACTACCTGGGTTTGAATCCCAGCCCTGCCATTTGTAGCTCTGTGACCTTGGGCAAGTTACTTACTTTCTCTGAGCCTCTGTTTCTTCATCTCAGAAGTGTTGCAAAGTGTTACTGTGAGGCCTAAATAATCGTCCCCTTTATTATTGCACTGCTCACAAATAAAAACCTGAATGTTCTATTTTAAAAGACACAAACAAACCAAAAATTAACCCAAAATTTCCCATAATTTCTCTGATCTCCAGAATGTTCTTTCCCTGGAGAGATATCTGATATTAAACATCATCTGCATTTTGCTTGCCTGGAAAAATACATGGTAACTTTTCTGCCTCCCAGTACCAAACTGCAGCATAGCTGAGCCCCTCTGCTGTGCAGTCTGGCTCTAATTAAAGGCATGTTCTCTACAGCAGGGCTCTGAGAGACTGGGTAAAGAGGGTTTGTTTCAGTTTCTGGCTTTATTATTAAGCAGATGAACACAGCCGGCTATGTGAAGGCCTTTACAGTGAGTGGCAGGTGTCCCATATCCATCTGATTATGTTAACCTAGAAAGAGCTCACTCTACCTCTTGGCATGCTTCCTCTCAGCAATCACACTGTGCCAGGGCTGGGGACTTTGGCCTTTGTAAGTTGGATTGCTGGATACCCATCATCTGTTTCTCTGACTGGAGGGTGCCGTTTTTATAGAAAGACCTAAATCCCCTCGTTATCTCCAGCTCTTCTCTCACACTGCTTTTTCTTCCTCTGTAAACGACCATCCAGGCAGTAACACCACAGCTGCAGGAGTGCCTGGGATGGGCAGCTCTCTCCGACTGCCCATTTGATTTTTACAACGTGACTCTGGCTTGAATCTCTCCGCCTCATATCTAAGGATAACCCAGAAACTCTGGGGCATCCTAGGTATGTTCGTCTCGACAACTCATTTTCCCAGGCCTGTAACAAATGTTCTGATTAGTTCTGACAGAAATTAAATGTCTAACTTGCATTGTGGTCCTTAAGAAAGGAGAATCGTGGAATTGTTGTTCCTCGCCCAGAGACAGTCTTATTAACAGGTACAGGGCCTGATTTGAGCACATTGCTGCCATCCGTTACAGTACTAAGGAGGCCAAGGACTTATTCTTCAGGACACCAGCTAGCTTCATTCAGAGAAAGAAAACTTTCCACCTGGTCAGCTTCTTCAGCTTTTTCTACAAATGGGACTTGAGGCAGTAGGAGTAGGGGCTCCTGGGAAGAAGGTGGAGCCTTGTGTTAGTAAGAAATAATGAAGTGTCCTATTTAGCTGATTCTTCAGTTTAGAACATCTGAATCCTAGCAAGGGCCGGGCCTCTAGTAAGTGTCCAACAAATATTCAGATGCTGTAATTCCTTCGTCTGCAGCATCCCCAAACAATGCACCCATCATGGGCTTCCTGAATTCATTGATTTCATTATCTGCATGAACTACTTCCTGCTTGCTGCTGCTTTACCAAAATCTAACTCAGATCCAGTTTCCAGACCCATTGTCCCTGCTGTCTACTCCCCTTCAGGCACTGTATTTTAATCTGGTGTGACTTTTTTTTTTGTCATACAATGGCCGTTTGATGTTTCTAATAAATACAATTCAGCAATAGTTTTTGAATGCCCATTGTTTACTATGTACTGCTCTAGGTGTCTGGGGGCATGGGGATGGCAAAACAAAAAGAAACTTGTGAATCTAAGGGGTCAAAAAGTCAAAAGCTTCCCACAGAGGTTTTATCAGATTCTGTGGGAGGGATTTAGACAGGGCTGCCTACTGAGCTAGCATATTGGGTGTTTCTTCGTATTCCTCAAACTCCAGGCTACTCTGGGCCTACACCAAGATTCAAAGCTGGCATTTCACACTTGTAGGACTTGGGTAGCTGGTCTAACCTGGCTAGATGTGCTGAGCTGTCTCAGTGTACCTCTCCTTATACGTCCCCTCAGGCTGTAGGGATCACCTTAGAGATGAAGCTCTCTGGGGCCTTTACCCAGTGCTAGCCAGGAGCCTTTGAGGGCACCTCTGAGGCAAATTTGCATCCCCAGCATGGAGTACAGGCCCTGAATATGCCTTCCACACTACACAAGAACACCACAGTCCTGTGCAGGCAAGCACCCAGGACATTGCCGAGGGAGTCTCAGGTGACACTACTTCAGCCAAGGTTGTTGTTGTTTTATGCCATTGAGTCAATTCCAACTGATAGCAGCCCTATAGGACAGGGTAGAACTGCCTCAAAGAGCTTCCCAGGCTGTAATCTTTACGGAAGCAGATCCCCAGGCCTTTTCTCCCACAGAACTGCTGATGGCTTCCAACCACTGACCTTTTGGTTATCAGCCAAGTGCTTAACCTTGTGCCACTAGGGCTCCCTTCAGTCAAGGTAGGCACAGCCAAATGTTTCTAAAGCTCATGTTGATGCCAAACATACCTGGTGGTGGATGGGGGCAAGTTTTCAGGACCTTGTGCTTTTGTGAGTTTATGCCTAGCTGCGAGGGGACTCTACTGAACTCATGACCCTTTCGTCAGTGTCATCAGTTCCTTACCTCCTTACCTGGACCTCTCCCGGTGGTGCACTGGCCTCAAGCTGATTGTACACATCTCTTCCCAACTTCACATTTAGTGACATCACGATAGCTTGAAATCAGCCGTGGTGGGAGTATTTACACCATGGAAATTAGCGAATACTACAATCAGAGTTTGTTTCCCAACCCTCTCCAGAGAGCCAGTTTAACATTTACTAGCACACCACGGGCATCTCCCTACATACATGGTTGACTCCTGAGGTCTTTTTAGTCCTTGTGAAAAAGCCAGTGGTCAGGCCAAAGGTGCTATCCTGGTGCTCTGGAATTACTCCAGAATGTTGGTGGTGTCACTACAGAGGCAAGGAAAATGGCCTTCCCTACAGTTCTGGGCCATACTTTGGCACCTTTGGAGTTGCCAACACCTTCAGAGTCTCCGAAGTTTCTCAACAAAATAGCTGCTGACCATTAGTTTCATAACCACTGGGCCCAGACCTGATCCCAGAGGCCAGGGAGAAGGCAGTTGCCATGTTATCTCTTGCAACTCTCCCCCTCATTTCCTTCCTCACTTACATGAGTCCTCATAGCCATGAATGCAGATAGACACTTGATGGAGGGAGTGGGGGAAAGGGATATAATCAACACCAGCAGTGCTCTGCACAGCCATTCAGACAGTGTGCTCTGTTATACTTCCTCAAGCAGCCTTCCTCTAAGAATCCTTTAACAGAGGGCGGGGATGGGCATTGTGACTATGGCACTGTCCATTTCTCCAGAGCTGGACCCTTAGTGCTGGATGGTGTGAACTACCTTTCACTCTAGCATGCCTGAGCCATGTGAATCTGGATACTACCCTCCCTCCCAAGGGATACCAGGTTCCCATCATGCAAGCTCTGGCTTCTTCTAACATGGGCATGAGTTGTCCTGGGCAGCACTCTTCCTGATTTGGGAAAAATTCAGGCATGCTGTAACTAAGAGCTGGCAGCTGCCTTTGACTCAGAGGCCACAATATGGGGCTGGAAGGTAGACCTTGTGAGCAGGCTGATTTCCCAGTGAATGTAGCCATGTTATTTGTTTCCAAGTGTGCAGCCCTCACAGAACAGCAGTGGCTATCCTCTTATTCCTATTTGAAGAACTTTGTTACCCATCTTCTGCCACTGGTCCTGAACCCCAGGGAATAGAAAATAGAGTCTCCAGTACCTCACCTTCAGATGCCTGAATGTGGGGGGCAGAACTGCTCACCTTCCCTTGTCCTTCTGGAATTATCCAGCCCCTTCTAAGGAGAACTTAGCTTCTGAATCCCTTGGGAAGGGAGTTTTCAGCATCATTCATTCATTTGTTAAATACCCAATACCTGCTAAGTACTATGCTAGAGGTACTAGGGTAACAACAAGAAAAAGACAGACACAATTCCTGACCTTATGGAACTTGTCCTGTGGAGGACACAAAGTAACAAGTGTCTAAGTAGGGACAGTATAAGAAGCCAAGACAGCACAGAGAGGGGGCACCTAGCCCAGACTGGGGCATAGGAGGCTTCCTGGAGGATGTGACATCTAAGCTGAAGGCCTGAAGGATGACTAGGGATCACCAGACTAAGAGTGGGGAGAGGATGGAAGTAGGGAGGGTCAAGGAAGAGTGTTCTGGGTGGAGAAAAGTAGGAAAGCATGGAAGTCAGAGAGAGAGCATGGCCTTTTTAAAGAAGTGAAAGACATTCTGTGTGACTGGATTGTAGAGTTCCAGAAGAGAAGCTGATCATAGTCCAATAACATTTATTGAGCATTGTTACCTGCACTTTAGATTAATTAACTCTTATAAGAACCCTGTTACTACACTTTATAGGTGAGAAAATGGAGACAATGAGAGATTAAGTAACTTGCCCAAGGCCCCAAGAGTTACTGGAAGTAAGAAAATGAGGCTGAAGAAGTGATCAGGCCCTATTATGGAGTTAGGACTTCATCCTAAGAACAGTGGGAAGCCATTGAAGGTCATAATCAGGGAAGTGACATTTTCCTGTTTTAGGAGGATTGCTCTGACTGTGGTATGGAGGGTGGGTTATTGGAGGGAGGACAAGAGGATCCAGGGGACCACTAAAGCAATTGCAGTAATCCAGGTAAGAGGTTAGATGACCTGAATTAAGACACTGGCAGTGGAGGTGGAGAGAAGTGGAGGATTTCACAGATATTTAGCAGGTGTATTGGGCAAAATTTAGGATTAATTGGATGTGGGGTGAGGGAGAGTCTGGAGTCAAGAGTGACCACTGGCTACTGCCTGGGACAGTGACCTCAGTGATAGCATTCACTAAAATAACTCAGAAGGAGGAAAATGTTTGAGGGAAAAATGTTGTGCAAGGATGAGTTCCATTCTGGAATTGTTGAGTTTGAAGATACCAAAAAGAAAATTGCATGGAGTAGTTACAAAGTCCCTATACATGCTAATTAGTATGCTCCCTTTCAAATTTTAATTTTTCCTCATAGTCTTCTGGACATCATTTTCCATTCCATAGTGATGGGTTAGAAGTCATTAAAGTAGTTCTAGATAGTGGCTTTCAGGAATTCAACTGTCATTAGGTAGACTTGGGAATTTTCTCTTTCATAGCCCCCTGAGGCAAATTGTCACACATTGTTAAGTATGCCATATGATATCAGAGACACATCCATTCCAACATCCACTGAATTGGTTGTCAAGATAAATATTCACCAACTGGGAGAGCCTAAGTGCCAGACGGAGCAGGAGAGTTGTTGCTTCAAGACCTTGCTCATGCAGATGTGGGGGGGAAATCACGTGTAAAGAATACTCAAGCATCGTGATTGACATTTGTGACAAAAATAAATATCCATCAAATGATCTTCCGAAATTGCTGCCCAACTCAGGACAAGAGGAGGCTGCTGCTGTGGGACAGAAGACATCGTGCCACACACAAGAAGTTTGTGGCTTCCCAACATAGGAGTCAAGACTTCAGAGGTGAAATCTGGGCTGGCAATACAGTTGTGGGAGTCGTGGATGTATCGATGGTCATTGGGGTCATAGAAGAGAGTAAAATCCACCAGGAAGAGTGGGCAGAGGGAGAAATGACCCAAGATGGAACTCTGAGGGATACTGACATTCAACGGAGTGGCCTGCTGAGACCAAGAAGGGATAGGAGGCAAGAAGTATTAAAAAATAAAAGATGATATATTGCAGAGGGCAAGGGAGTGTTTCATGAAGCCAGGAGTGGTTGACCAGACCAAAGGTTGCTGTACCATCAGGTAAGATGTAAGACCTAAAGAAAAAGTACCAATGGGTTTAGCATCCAGGAGGTCCTTGGAAGAGCAGTTTTAGTGGCATGGTGGAGGCAAAACAACCATTTGCCCTGCATTAGGGAGTGAGTAAGAAATAAAGAATTGTAAGACTCCATGGCAACCAACAACAACAAAATTTTAAGGGGAAAAAAGGAGGGGAGGTGGAGAGAAAAGTCTGAAGACTTGGTAGCGGGAAGTTGAGGAATTTTTCTACTGATGGTTTCTATTTCTTCTTTGAATGAAGGGAAAGAAGTGGTGGGATCAGAGATTTGAAGAAAGTGGAGAAGGTCTGAAATAGCTACTGCACAGAACTCACTAGGGAAACAGAAGGATTGCTGGGTTGCACGAAGGTATGGTGACCAGGGAGGCCAAGGATTTCTGTGGCATCAGTGGAGTCCCTGGGTGGCACAAATGGTTAAACGCTCAACTGCTAGCTGAAAGGTTGGCAGTTCAAAGCCACTCAGAGGAGCCTCGGAAGACGGGCCTGGTGACTGCTTCCAAAAGATCACAGCCTTAAAAAACCATATGGAGCAGTTCTACTATGCACACATAGGGTCACCGTGAGTCAGAATCGACTTTATGGCAACTAACAACAACAACAGAGCCCTGGTGGTGCGGTAGTTAAGAGCTCAGCTGCTAACCAAAAGGTCGGCAGTTCGAATTCACCAGCTGCTCCTTGGAAAGCCTATGGGGCGGTTTTACCCTGATGTATAGGGTAGCTATGAATCAGAATCGACTCAACGGCAACGGTGTTTTTTTTTTTTCAGCAACAACAACAGTAGGCACTGGTGTGTGATTTTCCCTGACAGGGCTCCGTCCCCTATGTCTGGAGAAAATGGAGCTGGATGGATTCAGGGTTGGGATTTTGGCAAGGGGGTGCCTAGGGATGAAGAGGGGTTGAAGTGATGAAACTTGGAATTAAGGCTGGTTGGGGTAGAAAATGAAGGAAGACAGGAAGGAGCTGATAAATAAAAAGTAGAGAGGGCCAGGGCCTGGAGGAGGTGCCTGCAGAGTCAAAAAATGGTATGTGAAAGAAAGAGCTTGAAGTCAGAGAACAGATGTGGATTTAGAATTTAAAAGCTGTAACAGTTCCATGACCAAACATGGATGTCCTCATCCGAAAAGAAAATGATAGGCTTTGCCCCATGAGCACTGTCCTTCATGAAATAATCTTGAATGTTCTTCTTAAATATATTTATGAACACACTGCAATTATGGGTATATTCTTCTTATCACTATATTAATTAAAAATAAGAATGTATTATTAAAGAATATAAGAACTGTCAGCGTCAAGAATATATTATTATTATACCCTTAATCTCCCACTCTCTTCTCCCCTTAATTTCCAGCTGCAACAGCAGGATGTTGTGCAGACAAACTAAGCATTATTTTAAAATGCTATTACAA